GTGAAGAGTGTAGGGCAGTGTAGCAGTGATATAGACACAAAAGAGAATCCAGGACAATACACTTTAAAGTGGAATGTGTTTATTAGTCTTTATGTCTGTGTAAGCTGCAAGAAAGAGTGTTTGTAGTGAGTTTCACTGTAATAACTGGTACATACTATAGCAAACTCTCCAATCTGTATTCTGTCCATTCTGTGACATACACTGCCAGCAGTGGCCGTCCTCATGAGCTAAGCCAGTGCGACTGCTGGTGCAGGATACATCAAGGCGAACAGGAAAAAAGATGCTTGTCGTCAACACTGAACTATGAACTCTACCCACCTCATGGTGTGACTGGAGTGTGAAAATGGAGGTGTTGGACTCAATGTCAAACACCTGTACCTCCCCGGACGCCAAACCCACTGCCAGGTGGGCTCCATTTGGAGAGTAGCTCAGTCCCGTCACCGCTAGCTCTGTGTGTCAGTAAGAAACCCAGCATTCAATGGTGTGCTACAGGCACTTGTTAATTTCCTTCACTTTTTGAGGTAGTAAATTTGTAGAGCAAATCCCCGGTATCCGGTTCCCAGATGCACAAGTTTTCGTGACACCCAACTGCTAGTTGTCTGCAGATAAAGAAAGAAAATGTGGGGTTGATGGTGCGGAAACAAGAGGTGCTATAGTTATGTTAGTTATGTTGTCTCACCGTCCACATGGAGAGAAAGTGGTGTGTACAGTAACTGAGAGACCACCTCTACCTGCAAAATAACATCAAGATGTTTTAGCTTGGTTTCAGTATACATGTTCCATCAAGGTTAACATTGTACTGTGTGAACCCAAGGACATAAGCTAAGTCAGCACATTGTATATACCCAAGGGTCAGCAGTACTGCACATTGTGTACTGCGTAAGCTAAGCAAACGGTGAGTTACCTGCATCAAAGATTTGGTGGACCTTCCCCTCCTTCCAGTTGTAGAGATGGACAGTCTTGTTCCCCTGAGGCTCAAACAGAGACCCAGGCTGGAGGCCCACTGCTATCCACGGGTGCTCTCTTGACCGCGACACACTCAGACTGTCACAGCAAAAGAATGGGGGGGAAGGAGTTAGTACACCATTGCTGGTACAGCTAAAACTTTACGCCTGCTTTTGATGGATAATGCCAGTAGCATTTTATGCAGCTTTGTCTCACTACACATATTTAACCAACAAAGTAGTTGCTGACCTGTGAATGATGCCAGGCTGTGGGGTGTCTTTAGAGACCCCGACCTCCAGTCTTGTCTGAGGTTGGACGGGGAGACCGGCCTGTGGGGTCATGGGTGGCCACACCTTCACCACGTGACCCTCCACCGAGGCCGTCGCCAGCACCCCCTCCGCTCCAAATGACGCAAAATGTAGCGGAGGATCCTGGGTATTACACAACATTGCATAATGCACGGTTAAAGGAGCACTTTGAATAAGAAGTAAAGAAGCACATAGTGGAGTATGTAGGCCACACAATTACACCTAAGAATAGATTCTTCTCTCGAAACGTCTTCGTAGGAGACATCAACTTACTGTGAGGCTCTCATCTTCCTGGGAGTCATCGGCAACTATCCTCCGCTGACCGGGATAACCCAGACTGTTGAGGGTGACAAAGGTCGAGGAGACCACAAGATGCTCCGCCCATTTCTCAACCCCCAGCACCGAGTCCTGCTGCCGCACCCTCTGTTTCACACTCAGCTCCTCCTCACCCATCTCCCAGAATGTCGCCTGTGGCACAATTGTAATGGTATGTGTGAAGGGCCTAAACTACTGGAGTATAGGCCTGCAGGTCTCTATTGGTGTGCATACAGTGGCTAGCTGTGCACTCACGTGGCAGTCTCTGGAGCCGGAGACCAGGGTGTTGGAGTCAGTGAAGACGAGTGAGGTGATCATGAGGTGTCGGGGTGGGGTATAGGAGTGGAGTAGGGAGTAAGGCCGCACCTCCTCCGGTATCAACCTCTGCAATACACTCATCACCTGCACCAGACACCACACACAATGGATACTGTATCTCGCCCTTTCTTTCACTGTCCCAGAGCCTATGCTTTTTTTTACTGTCGCCATCCCAATTTTTCCCAGGGCTATGTGTGTATCTTGGAAAGCGGATTACGTGCAGAATGAAAGCATTTGCCAGACACTGCGTGCTAAAGAGAAAAGGGTTAACAGTTCGTGTGCTACTGAAAAGGGGACTCTACAGCCTTGTGCCTTCATGAAAAATTGACCATCCACCCATAGCAAAAATGAGTGCATGTTATTGTACGTACCTCTTCGTGTCCCTCGTTGTAGGCCAGGTCATAGGGAGTGGCATTGTGGTTGTCACGGGGACAAGGGTCAGCTCCGCCTCCCACCAACAGGGTCTCGACGATGGAGGCGTGGCCAGAGGAGGCGGCCTCGTGGAGAGGAGTTCTGTAGTTCTCTCCTGCAGTGTTCACCTGAGCCCCTCTGTAGAGATTGGCAGAAATGATGCGACACGTTTAACGTTTTTGCATCAGACTGCTAATGTGATGGAAATAACTATGGTTTGTGGTGCGGGTGTCAAAGTAAGGAAGTCATTATGATTTCACATTCTTAGTAAAATGAGAGGATAGCTTCTCACTTCTGAAGCAGTTTCTCGACGATGTGGAGGTGTCCGTTGCGGCAGGCCTGCCAGAGAGCGGTGTTCCCCCGTGAGTCAGCCTGGTCCACGTCAACGTTGTACGCCAGGAGTAGATCGACGACGTCAGAGCAGCCTCTCTCGCAGGCCAGGTGGAGGACGGAGGCCCTGTTGAGGGGCTCCGTGGCTGACGGGTCTGCTCCGTGCTCCAGTAGACACTCCATTGCCTGTTGAACACACAGACACAGAGTAGAGAATAAGTTTGGTGCACCCTCCCTATGTCATACATGTACAGTCAACAAGTCAACTAACATGGGAGCTATGCGAAGGTGATTAGAGTCATGGTTACAAACAGATAACTGATGCAAGGGACTGAGGGCTACTGAAGCTGAAAAGGTTTTGACTGGGATATCGGGAGTGTATGACACAAACACATACACATAGAGTATGTACATAAGTACACGTGCAATGAGACAGGTGGCCCGGGGGAATGTTGTCTGTTGCTTTCTTTCCCACGTTAACTCTCTCTCTCTCTCTCTACTTCCTCTTCCTTCCTACTTTAGTTTAGTGGAGCGAGCTAGTTTCTCTAGATTCTATCCCAGTGATATAATTGAAGGGTCTTACCTGGTAGTGGTCGTTGAGGAAGGCAAGGAAGAGAGGTGTGTAGGAGCTAGCATTGAATGTCAGCTCCTCAAGATCAGCCAGTACAGAGCCATTCAGCATGTCCCATATAGCAGCCACATTACCATCCTGTGGGTGCATACACCAGTATAGCATGGTTTGCATCGAACATCATGTGTCCAGAGCATACAGTAAGTTAGACAGTAACAGTTGTGAGTGGGAAAGTGGAAGAGTAGAAATTGGTCTCAGGTTGAACGGTGGTGGGTTTACTTACTCTGCATGCTCTGTGTAGAGGACTGTAGTCCTCAATGGTTCGTCTCCTCCTGAGGGTGGAGTCAGGTCCTAGTGGCAACATGCTTTGCTGAAGAGAGAGAGAGAGGAGGAAGAAAGGAAAGAAGAAGGGGGTAGAGGATGAGGGGAGATCGAGGAGGGGAAAGGAGTAACGTGTATGTGGGTTGAAGGTCAAAGCAGGAACAAAGACAATTCAATTAGAGTTGTTTGTCGTGGTCATCTCCGCCATTGGCAGTGCCTGCCTGGACTCCAGCCTACACCAGACCATGTGGGGAAGAGGCTGACCAAACAACCACTCACGCACAACACCCCACATATAATAATATGAATACTGCCACCCTGTTATGTCACCGTCCAACCCATACAGCATGTGGTACAGTAGACTATACATCCTCCCAGAGGTGTTGTAGGTACAACTAAACACATGGTGTACTGGTGAACCTTGCCCAGTCATTTCCACAACAGAAGACTTAGTCCCCCTGGATTAAGCCCACACACTCACTACATGCAGCAATATAACTTAGCACCCAGGAATGCACTATACACTCCCCCACACTCTCCATGCTCCCAGACTTTATTGCTATCTCAACACACCATAGTAAAATGAGCTTACATGCACAACTCACAGAGCCAGTGGATGCTCAGCCTGCATGTGACCAAATGAAGTAACTGCTCCAGAGCAACGCTATGTACATATGCTAGTGCCCATGGCCAGCGTGAAAGGCTACATATATAGACACAGTTCTGCTGTTTTGCCTGGTGAATAGGAAGTTTTATTCCCAACCTATCAGCTCCTAGTCCCAATGGAACAACTTCCCCCAGTCACACACACATACACACACGATGACTCACGGGATTTCCTCTCTTGTCCAAAATGCAGCAACTCTAAATAAACTCTTTCGTTTCATGGGCTATTCACTTCGATCGCATGCATGAAGATAGCTAGTCTTAGCTCCAAAGTACCAGCTGGCCTGCCTGGCTATAGTGAAAAGCCTGGTCAGCTCCGACCATTCATATAGAGCATTCAACCCATACAATGAGCCATTGGACTGTCTACAATGAAACACACAGACACAGGAGTGTGTGTGTGAGCTAGGAACATGTGTAGTCTCTGGGTGTGTATAGGCCGGCCCCAATTCAAGGAAACACTCATCGACAGACTGAATCTGCTGGCACTGCAGAACCACTACAGCCTATCAGTCTGTGAGCATGGATGTGGATGGCTTTCAAAGAACCTACATATGTATCCCTAGCTCCACTGCTATCTCACATACACCTATCCCTAGCTCCACTGCTTATCTCACATACACCTATCCCTAGCTCCACTGCTATCTCACATACACCTATCCCTAGCTCCACTGCTATCTCACATACACCTATCCCTAGCTCCACTGCTATCTCACATACACCTATCCCTAGCTCCACTGCTATCTCACATACACCTATCCCTAGCTCCACTGCTATCTCACATACACCTATCCCTAGCTCCACTGCTATCTCACATACACCTATCCCTAGCTCCACTGCTATCTCACATACACCTATCCCTAGCTCCACTGCCATCTCACATACACCTATCCCTAGCTCCACTGCTATCTCACATACAAAGCACAACTGTGGAGTACAGATGTACGTACGATAGCTAAGACTATTGGATCTTGAGTGTACTAGGAAAGTAACGTATCAAGGAGTGTAGATCCCATTGTATGGTGCTAGAATGCGTAGAGCCATTGTATGGTGCTAAACATTACTAGAGAAGTAACCATAACTATGGAGTACATGAGGATCCACATGAGTAGATAATGTCTAGTGGTGGGCATAATGTACTCACTCTGGGTTTGAGTTGAGGGCTGTTGGAGGAGTTTGATGTGTTGGAGACTTTGGAGAGTCTGTGTAGGGAATGTGTCGGAGTGGAGTTTGTCGGAGTCGGAGTATCGGGGTAGTTGAACCTCCTCACGTTCACCAGGGGAGATGGCGGGAGGGGCATCGACGCTCGCTGTGTGGGGGGGGAGGGAACACACTATCACCTATTGCCATCGGGGATGTATATGGAGCAAAGGGAAAGACTGGTGCATTCGGAAGCACTACTATGTATATAGTGCCATTCAGCACATCCTCTCCTGTGTATATATGTGTACCTTTGCAATGTCGTCTGCACTCTGGCTGGCTGGGATCTTCTGTTTCCTCAGCTGCACCTCCTGGTAGGAGGAGGCCAGAGGATGGACCTGGTCTCCGTCCTCCTCCTCGTCCATCTCTCCTCCGATCCCCGGAGGAGAACTCATGTTCCTCGCCGTCCTATTCGGGTCAGCGATGGCCTTCAGAGTGTCTTCCAGGTCCTGGGGCACGTCCCCCTCATGGTTCTCCTTCCTCTCCTCTGCTACTTTGCCATCTGGCTCTATTGGTTAGGGAGGAAAAGAAGAAAAGAATGGTTAGTGCAGGAAGGAGAGGGATAAAGGAGGAGGGGGAAGAAGGAAAGGTGGGAGAGGAAGGCTAAATGGTGAAACTCTTTGGCTCTGTTTGTACCAAAACACCGCCCTCAACGCCCCTTGCCGTGTGTCTGCAAACACACACACACACACACTCTCCTGCCCACTCAATACTATGTCCACATTATGACATCATCATTCATCAATTCCAAATATCCGACATAATCCTCCAGAGACTTGAGCATGCACTATACCAGCACATGCCACAGGGGCTCCAGGTCCGCAGTACACCAGTAAGGGAAAGGTCCACAGTACAGTTTGTTACCTGCCCAAACTGGCCTGGTATGATAAGATAACTACATGCCATGGAGACAGTTTTCATAGGCTTTACTACTCACTCACTGTGCCCACTGCTTAGCAGATGTGTTTGAAGGTGGCTCTATATACATACATGTACATACTATGGTGCACTGAGGCACACTTGTGAGGTGTTGAATGTGAAGGTATAGTGGAATGGGTTTGTTTACCTCCAGTCCCCTCCCTGGCAGAGGGTCCCCTGAGGACCTCATCACTGCTAGCAGCAGCAGGAGGAGGAGGAGGGAGAGGTGCGGGTGCCACCTGGTCCGTCAGCGGAGACAGAACGTTGCCCTTCCCATGGCTCCAGCTGCGACCAGGACGCATTCCTTCCTCTGCGTCCCCGGTGATGACCTGTGAACTCGGCCGAGAGCTCCCCGTGCTGGTCCCCTTCCCGCTATCTGTGGATCAGAAAAAATTTCCCAATAGTAATTCATTCTACCTCAACATTGATCACATGTGACCTCCTGCGTAAAAAACACACTACTGTAGTTGTAGGTCTTCCGCCCCTACCAATGAACATCTGCTCTCACACCCCCACTCACACACAACATGTGCCGTTGGTCGGTTGGTACACAAGTAATACATTCTTGACTCGACATTACATATGTCAAAGGCAGTACTACGTAAATGCTGGGATCAGCCACGGCAGCGGAATTTTTCAGTGGTGTTGCAATAGTAGCTCAGAGTGACCAGCTCTTTAAATGTGATTATATAAGACAGTGTTTGTTACCAGTGGCTGCATGTCTTAGCAGAGGCACTGGAATACTAGTGTTTGTGCCATATTTGGATGCAAAGCAGTATACATACAGTGGGTGAACTAGAAGCGCTATAGGAGGGGATTAGAGATGCATGAACGAACTCTGTTATAGGAGTTGACAATTTGAAAATTGAAAGTGCAGCAGTCGTATGGGTGTTTACTAGCTCTGCGTTCATACGTACTCTGTAGGGACCCCACCCAGCACTGCCATGCAAACAAACTACACAGTAGTAAGAGAGTTTGGTCTCAGACAGGGCAGTGGTTTTGATGAGCCTAGCAAAAAATTGGTTGTGACTGGCATTCTTGAGACTGTTAGCCTCCCACTCACTAGGGAGTACCAGTGAACACATCTGTATGTATGTAGTCCCTCCACTGACTGGGGAACTCTCTCCAAGGACACCTCTGTAGCGTATGTCTAGCTAAGCTGAGCAATTCTGGAGTTATCATTCCGTTCACCTAATACGCACTAAGATCAAGCCCTGACTGTATCTGTATGATTGCTGAGATGTACATGGAGGCTTTGTGTACCTAGCTCTACCATATGTGATGGAGGGTGCATGGATTGCTATGCATGACTAAGGACTGTATAGGGGAGTGGGTATTGGAGGAAGGAGATGGTGCGTGTGACTGACCCTCGGAGGGAGAGGGAGAGGAGGCTCTCTTGCCTTCTTCTCGGTCGGCCGGCAGGTCACTGCTCCATGCCTGAGGTGGCTTCCTTCGAACCTCCTCTATTTCCTTCAGCTGCAGAGAGGCAGTGAGAGAGAAAGAGAGAGAGAGGAGAGGGAGGGAAGGGGGTAAGGATGACGGTTCAAAGCGTCAGGTTGGTCACTTACCGGCTCAAATCTCTCCTGTCTCCGTCCAAGTGGTCGAAGCCCATTGTGCTTCTCTTACCACCACTCATGACGACCTTCTTTGGACTGCACCAACACACAACACACACACGTACAAAACTACAGTTAGTCACTACCTGCCACACACCACTCTCACACACACCGCCATTTGCTGGGATTTTGAAATTTCCCAGCACACCCTGCACTAAAATTGCTGCCATTTTGGCAATCCCCACCAAACCGGGCTTGGCATCATAATAAACAGCTAGTAAAACTGGTAGTGGGTGCATGATATGTATAGTTCCTGAACACAGGCTACAGTAATAAGTACAGAAGTGAGAAGTTGAAAGAGAGAGGGGGAAGGGAATGCACTCACTCTGGTTTGGATCGAACGGGAGCGATGAGAGTGAAGGAGCGGACGCGGGGCGACTCCTGTGGACTCTCGCTGCCCGAGATCTTCCCGTGGTCGTCCGACCTCAGTAATCCCTCGCTCCCGTCCCACGTCCCGTAGCACCCTCCTCCGTCTCCTCCGGCCATCGTGAAATCTGCAAACGTGTCGGCACGAGGCTTTCTCCTACCGCCAAGCTCACCACCACCACCACCGCTGTCGAAATCTTCGAAGATGCTCATTGTCCTCGCAGCCTGTGGAGTCCTCGGAGGAGCTGTGGGTGTGTGTGTGCGGTTGATAAAAAAAATAAATGCTCCGCTTTTTTTCATGTGCAGCCGAAGTACATTATCGAAAGAAAGAGTGCAGCTTTCCTTGATTCAAGCATAATTAGAGAAAACACTGACACGTTTAGGTGCATGTGTGCCAATCTGAACATCACCTGCAACAGTTTCAATATGTCTAGGATGCTAATAGGAAGGTATATAGCTACCATGCTGCGAATCCCTAAAAACTAAAATGGACTGACACACATGGTGTGGATGTAAGGTCTCACATTGTGTCTCTGGGATGGGTGAGCAGCCAGAAGCAGCTCTCTGTGGACTCCCACAGCAACCCCAGCGACCCTTCAGGTTGAGTCCAAATATCCCCTTGTGGTAGTGGGTCAGCATTCGAGTCCCTTTGTCTCGTGACGCTAGAGTATGTGTGGAGAGAGGAGAGAGGGGGGGAGAGAGTGAGACAGCCATTATAATAACGTCTGGGATTATAAGTTGTGCATACCACCTATCCTGCCACTAGTTGGCACATAACCTACCTTTCCTGAAGGCTAAAAGCCACTCGTCTCTCTCTTCTGTTGTCTTTGTGCAGAAGTACATGGTTTCAGAATGATCTCCAACCTGGGCAGGTATAGCAATGGCAACACCGGCAATCAAACCCAATTGCTTTGAGGTTTGTTTCAACCCTCCCCGAGTAAAACACCCTCCTTTAGTTCCCTCCTAATAGCACTGTTTGTGTAGCTCCTCCCTATTGGCCCAGCACCTCCCAGCTATAGTAAAGACAGTGTGAGCCAGAGCTGGCCGCTTGCCAGAGTATACCCACACAAAAAAACACAAAAGACTTTTGAGTAACACGATAACACCTTCTCTAAAGGCCCTCCTTGTTCCTCTGTCGAGGGACGTGTTTACGGTGGCGGCCAGTGCAGAGGGAATGTTGCGAGTTTGGAAACTGCCGGGAAAAGCGAAAAGTTTCCAACACGGCAACTTGTGATAAACACAACTCAAGCCTTTCAGAGGAAAAGCAAGAGGTTGACAAACACGCACTCCGTTTCCCTTACACGGGCCTTCAGAGTTTTTGGTGGAAAAAGTGACAATTCGAATGGAATATTAAATTTTAACTTTTGAGTCTCCCCAAGAAAAACAAGGTTTTAGCATTATAACCAATCAGGAAAAAAATTGTCAACATGTTGACGACTACGTCAACATTTGCTGTTGACCTATACCTATTTCCCCCAACAATAGGAAAACCTTCCACATGTACGTATCTATACTTTGTAACACTATGTATGTCATACTCGATCATGCTGGCATCAAGGAGAGTAAAGCTAGAGGGTATATTTCTACCCTCCTACCTGCCTCATACCCAAATATTCCACCCAATCACCTGTAGCTCTACACAACACATGACCATAGGCCCATACGCCACAGCCAATGTTTTTCACACACGCAGGAGAGCGATATGGTAGGTGTGCAGGTGAATGTTGCACAATTCTCGACCACACAGAGACACGTAACTTTCACTGTGTGTGTGTGTGTGTGCGCACAATGGCTCCCTGAATCCAGCCACCGTGACAAGAATCTAGACTGCGATAACTTCTACTGCCTCGCTCACACTTTCGTTATGTACGTAGCACAGTTTGAGCACCGTTTCAATGTAGACGTGTATGTAGCATGAGAACGCGTGGGAGACCTACAACTGACCAACTATGAGGGAATGTATGGAGTCTGCAACATTCACTATATAGCTGTCACATTGTGATGTAGTATATACACGTATGAGAGCATGTGTCAACATTGACCGTATGAGAGCATATGTCAACATTGACCATGTAGTGATTACGGTATATAGTACAATACTATAGTGAAAATGCTGCAGGTGTGTGTAAAAATGTGGAGATGAAATCTGATAGTGCTTACACGAGCGTCTGCCCATGCAGCTACGTACTTACCTCCTCTACACAGTGGACGCGTGTGATCGAACGTGGGTTTACTAAAATCAATGCAAAATCAATTGCCTAACAAATGGCCTAATTGCCGTGAACATTTTAGTTATTCAGCACCGTGCCGACATAAACTGAAAATGTTATTACATCATGCAGCTATGCAGGAACTAGTAAACAGAAGACTGATCATATTCATTGAACACATAGCATACGGGCACTGCAGATCTAAAAGGAGCATTGGTATAATTATGGCTTTTTACACAAAAGCTTTGATCTGTTACTCTAGCCTCCTTGACTGGCTAGCAGTGAATGTAGAGTTTACCTGTCCCCCACACCATGTGCTGTGCATGCATTTCCTTGCTACACATCACTGGAGTGAATGTTTACACTCTGAGCTATTCTCAGAGTTTAATCACGCCAGGCTGCGGGCTGGGGGCCATTGTATGAGCAGCTACACAACGTACGTAACAACTGATAAGATTGACTATCTTTCAAGAACACATAGTCAATCTAGAATGATGTGCACCTGTATGGCCTCGGGACTGATGACGAAAGAGAATGAATGAATGGTGGCCTGGAACTGAACGATCATTCAGTGACTATTGCAAGAGGTCTATATCCATTGTGAGCCATTGTATAGACAGAGAAACGGATGTAGCGTCTCTGGAACTATCCATCCATCCAACGACTAGTTCTAAACCTACATGTCAGCTTGCTGGAGGTATGTAAACAGGATCAGTTCCACATATACCACCAGGGCCGCACGGCCTAGAGTACGATGCATGCAGGTAGAGGTGGGGTGCAGCCTGCGGGAGACCACTCTGCTGTGCTACTGCCGCTCAGCAGATGGCTTCATGCTTACACGCACCCAGAAAAACACCACTTACCTCACACTTCAAGAGCTACCTGGCATACTTCTCACCCACCACTTCCTGCTGTGCAGGTGGACTCTCCTGCACCCAAACAGCCATTACACTGTACTACGTAGAGCAGTGAGGGTTTCAGAGCCCGTTCCATCCATTGTTTCCCACTTCAAACTCATTCTGTGTGCCCATCAAAACTGCAGAAAGCCTCACAATAGCTCTATATTATACCAAGTCCCAGCTATCGTCTCTATATCTGAGTGGCTCTTCACTATGGCGTGTAATCAGTGTCAAAAATAGTACGCACGCGCGGTCGATGAGGTCGGCCTACTTTACTGAGAGGTCGGTCTATTTTACTAGGAGGTCGGTCCGCTTTACTATTAGAGGTCGGTCTACTTTACTAAGAGGTCAGTCTACTTTACTATATAGGAGGTCGGTCTACCCGAGTCTCTACTTTACTAGAGTGACGGGCGGGCCCGCCCGCGAGAAAAAAAGCGTAGAGGTCGAGGACTGACGGCGAGTGTAGTGGCCCGGTGCCTGCGCCAACCACCACCGCTGCTCCCATTCTTACTCCATATTGGCGGACCTCCTAGTAAAATGTGGACCGACCTCCTACAAAAACGAATCGACCTTCAAGTGAAATAGACCGACCTCTTCGTGAAGTTGAGCGACCGCTACTAGTAAAGTAGATCGACCTCTTAGTAAAATGGACCGACCTCCTAGTAAAGTGGACCGACCTCCTAAAAAGTAGACCGACCTCTAATACTGAAGTACACCGACTTCTAATAGTAAAGCGGACCGACCTCTCAGCAAAGTAGACCGACCTCATCATCACCGCGCGTGCGTACTATTTTTGACACTGTTTACACGCCATACTTCACTACTGGTTATAAATTATTGTGTAGAGTATGAGAGAGAAGACTCTAGGTAAACACAAGGCATTGTAGATAGAGTGTCCCTCCTGTTTGTGTGTGTTGTGAAAATGACACAAGTGACTATAATGCTCGCAGATAAACAGAGAGGATAGCCGTGCCCCCACACCAAGGCTCCACACAGCATACGGCAAAAGCAGATGTGGTAGAGAGAATGTTATGGTTTTCAAATCACCGCCACCGAGGTCCAATTGCTTGTTTTACCAGGTTTCAGTTACACAATGGTGTACGCAAATATTCTTATCGTGTCTGCAACCACCCACACTGGGGGGATAGAAAAGGCTCATCAGTGCCTTTCAAACATAATATTTTACTGTTTGCTGCTTCGGATGCATTTTCATGATAGCACACTTAGCTATGCATAAAAGACTCCATTTCATTTGTCGGCTGGTGAGGGATAGTATTACCTGGAATGGATATAGGTGGGCGTAGTCCTTCCCAAAGATCTCACAGGGCATTGTTTCGACGACTCGAATCTGCTGCACAGCAAACTGCCCTTTGGGGTCACCCTGCACATAGATTGCAGTATCCAGAGTAAACATTTAGAGACAGAGAGATTTCTAGAACCCAGAATGCTACGTATGTATGTACGTATGTATGTATAGGTTATACTATCTGTCTTAGAGTTCTAAACTGTGAAAGTGCCACGAAAACCAGCCATCCCAAAATCTGCCAGAACTGGCCAGAGACTCACACTACAGAGCTACAGAATGCCGGGTTTACATGGGCACAGGAATAAGCCCTCATGCATGGCACTCTGGAGCTGCAGGTGCACCCAGAATTAGGTCACTATGCAGGGATATAAGTGGAAAATGACTCATTCATTATGTGCATCTGGATTGGAATTGCCACACACAGGCCCAGAACGTACAGACTACAATGCTGCCATGAATAAAGCCCCACGTGCTGCCTATACCCGACATTTATATTGGGAAACAGTGATTTGCAGGAACAGAAAGGGTTTCGTGTGTGCTTTAGGAAGCGTACTATGAGCAAAACGTGACTAGTCCAAGTACAACAGAGCGTGCTCATTTGTAGGTAGAATACCTCGGCAATACACAAGGGGAAACAATGTAAGTAAACAAATAAACACGCGTGCATGCATAAACAACTGCTGAATCACAAAGCACGATTTCGTAGCCACAAAAATGTCATTACACTCGTGCCCGCATTCACACATGTCGCACAACATATGCTTTCTGTTTGTACTTTAACTGACACCTATTGTTTTCCTTTCGGGCCCAAAAGTAAATTTAGGGCCATTTAGATCAAAACCAACGAGCTCACTGTTTGCTGTGAAGGAATAGGGGAAATTGCCAAGTGTCCTCATAAGAGGTAAAATTTCGCGGTCAATAACTCTGAGAAATTTGCTGCATGTGTACTAAATGCAGTATACAATTGCACATGTGGCCAGGGTGTGTGATACTGTTACTTAGGCTTCAATATTCAGCCATCAGCGAGTTTGGTAGCGCAGCTACAATGGTGAGCCTTTCTCACATCAAAAACAGTTCGGAGGCCAACTTCTCAAAAGACAGCCTAATAATTCAATATAGGCAGCACACAGCTAGAAGCTGCATACACTGTAAGAGAGCTTCAAGGTCCGGTAAAGTATTGCATAATGTTGGTGTGATCATGCAGGCAACGCCTTGGAGGACATGTATTGGTGTGCACACGCAACTACAACGAACATCATTGTAGAATGGGATGCGATGACATGCACGTTTCTAAACGCGGTGCAATGCACACACCGGTCGACAGCTTGTTTGCCAAGAATCGGTACTGGACGATAACACTAGCACAGCCATGCGTCGCTTGGAGCCGCCCGTAACGAGCAATTAGCAGCTCGTCAGCGCAGCACACCTGCACGCACAGCGCCCCCAGGCACTGATGCTCACACAGCGCCTATACAGGCACTGATGCTCACCCTTTTCTTGGGATGGGGGTCGAAGTAGTCCAGCGAGTGGCTCGTGAGGCGGCAGAACCTCTCCTGAAACTTGAGCTTCTTTTGGTTACTGTGCAGTCCTCTCTGCCTCTTGAACAACATGCCCTCCTTGTAGGTCCGCTGCGTGCCCAGCATTTTCAATGCTTTTTCCGGAACGTCTATCTCGGTCATGGTTATCCTTCTTCTTCTCTGGCGACGTATACTGCAGTTCTTCAAACTCTAGCACTGCCAGTGCCTTGCAACGGCTCCATATACTAACACCGGATGAAAGCTACAATTATGCGGATGTGTATATAATGTTTTTGCTCCAATATAAAAAAAGGTGGGGCTAGTAAAGTAGGCGTGGCTAACCTTCGACCGCCTCACACGTTTGTCGTACGTTGTGCTGTGGTGCTCCTCGTCTTCCCATTTCTCTTTTCTTGAGCAGGAAAAGCTCATCAGACTGCTGCTGCACCAGTCACTGTACGATAAGAGGGGGACAAGATGGCGGTCGACAGCGCCAGGTCGCTTCAGTACGAATACAAGGCGGTAAGTGAGATATGGTAGGCATTAATTAGAATATATCCACCGTGCGCGTTCAATGAGCGTTTGTCTTGTCGTGTATTCTTACGCGAGCACGTTGGACGAACGTCGTCGATCCTGCGTTTCCTTCACGTTTCATTTTGAGGCTTATAAACCCAAGTTATTGTGAATGAAGCCAATAAAGAATGGCATTACTGTGGGAAAGAGAGCATCAGTACGAATACAAGGCGGTAAGCCATGCATTAGTAGCATTAGCCAGATAGAAGGGACACACATAACTGCATGCAAGCAAGACCTTACCTACGTAACAGTTACGGCCTCAAAATATTCATTTTGTGGTTGTTCCCTCTCCTTCCCCAGACCTCCAACCTTGTGTTGCAAGCCGACAGGTCGCTGATCGACAAACGAGGGAGGGATGAGGCAACGGGCGAGGTTCAGACGCTGGTCGGGAAAATTGACGGGGACCAGGATGGGTGACCGCGCCGAGAGAACACGCCCACCTGTACCACAGGCAGACAAGCCAAAGAAGAAGTGAGTCAGCACGGACCAGAATTCCCGAGGGCGATTTGCCACCCACCACCAACCTAGAACCCACACTCATGGACTGGCTCTATTGCTGGGTGTGGGATTTCTCGCCCTTAACTCCAGTTTTCAGCCAAGTCCCATCTTTGATGGTGTGGCAGTAGTGAGAGAGGGGCAGAGGTTTGATCCTTGTTTCAAAGACTTGGCACTGGAGTCTATACACTATGTGGCGTTGAATTGTGTTTTCCAGCCCTGTCTACTGGTAGCTCGGTGGGTAGAGGGCTGTGTCTAATATGCAGAGTGTCAATTCCACTATATATAGGGCAACTCTTTATCTTTGGGTTTTTATGCAATTTTCTCGCATCGATCCGCCCTTTCTCTCCCCTCTCAGACCAAACTGACTATCAATCTTACTAGATATTTTGCCTAGTAGAATTAAGACATGTACATGTAGTAGCGAAACAACAGTGGTCGAGAACCGTTTATTTCACCGTCAATCCATCTCCTCCCCACACCGTGCCTCATTCTCCCAGGAAGTCTCGACGAACCAGTGAGCCGGCAGAGGACTACCCGGTCATAGCCAAAGGCTCCAGCCTCCTCTCGTCTGAGATGGAGGAGCTGAGCGGCGTCTACTACCGACCTCGGACCCGAGAGACGAAATCCACCTACGAAATCCTCCTCAGCTTCATCCAGAAGATGATTGGAGACCAGGTACAGCACACAGATCTTGCAGTATACTATCGGAGTCCGTGTTAAAGTTCCACCTTTGCCCAATCCTCATTTTGACAGACTCTCTCTCTGCTTTGACTTCAGCTTACTTTCCCAGTCTCTCATGTTTTGTGTGCCCTAAAATGGTTGTTGTGCACTTACAAAGATTAAGCTGACCTGTATTCGGTGAGAAATATGGTTTGCTGTCTGCGTTGTGCACTCCATAATAATATTATACTGACTGACCCCTGAAGCTGTTAGTTCACTTGTGTAACTCTGTGTCAGCCTCGTGATGTTCTGTGCGGAGCGGCAGACGAGGTCCTGGCCACGCTCAAGGCCGACCACATGAAGGAGAAGGAGAAGAAGAAGGAGATATCCTCGCTGCTAGGAGCTCTGGACGACGAGACGTTTGCCATGCTCTCCGGGCTCGGTCGACGCATCACTGACTACGGAACTGACAAAGGCGCCGCTATGGAGAGTGAGTGGCACTGCAGCATTTACATTGACTAATCACGACACCTGTAGTGGATCAGAGGAATGTGTACATATTAGTGAGGTGTTCTCGTCTATGGAGTTCAAAGAACCTTTCTTTGGGAAAGAAAAGGTTCAACTTCAGGGGTGTACTTGAGGTGTTTCACTGTATTCCCTACATGCCTTGGTACATACACATACATACAGTTGTGGGTATGTAGTGGTAGCTGGGTGTGGCGAAGGGTCGATGGGTGTTGGCAGGGGTCGTGGGAGGTGGGGTGGGGAGGATTACTCTGCCAGGTCGCGGAGAATGGAGTGAATGAGATGTAATTGTATCTGGCCACTTGGGACAGTGGAGGGAGCTGGAGCCTGTTAGAGGAATACCACTCACGCCCATGTTAGCTGCCCTTCATTATCACGACTCTCGGAAATACAGTTCTAGATGTGAGCCTGAAACGTCGTATTAACCCCAGCTATCAGTCCTTAGTCCTGACATGCAGTTGTGTCTTCATTTAAGATGTCTGACGTACTGTGTAATTGGTTTATGATCGGGTTGATGCTGTCTTATCTTTCCCCTTCTCCTCTTCCCCTCTGCAGCTGATGCCATAGATGAGAACTATGGAGTGGCGGTGGTGTTCCAGGAGGAGGAAGGAGAGGAGGGAGGAAGGACAGAGAACGTGGTGGCCACGGAGCAGGACCCAGCCGACGTGAGGACACACAAGGAGCGGGGAGGGAGGGAGGGGACAAGGGGAGGGAGGAATTATGGTTGCAGTCATCGTAAGCTTGTAAACATGTGTTGCTTGTGCTTTCTCACTGGTTCACGCAGTTGGTAAATGAGTTCATGGTTTATATACAGATGTTAGCATAACAGCATCAGTTTCAATACGACATTCCTTGGTGTAAACCTCTGATCAACAAGCTGCTTTCACACACTGACAAATTCGCAATACTGCAGTCTGTACATGTACTAGAACAGTATTTTTTAATAGTTCAGAGCAAGCTGGTATATATGTGTATTCTTAATATATGTACATACATCTCCATGCACACCACCTATAAAGTTAATATGTGTGTACATCGCTCTATACAGTTGTGTTTCTCTGTGAGCAGGATGAGGAGGAAGGGATGGAGGCAGAGTTCGAGGGGGTCATTCACGGAGTGATTGACTCCGAGAGGGCCGGGGCGGAGAAAGCCAAGGAGAAACTGGAGCCACGGAGTGTGGACGCCTATTGGCTGCAGAGAGAGCTAAACAAGTTCTTCAAAGACCCCATTGTGAGTCTAGTGGATATAAATGCTCTCTATTATACCACTGTACCAGTGGGCCGTGGTGACTGATGGTAACAGCACTTTTAGTGTTGGCTATCTGGCTCAGACATGTATGTATGTATGTATGTAATTGCTGCAACACTAGAGGAAACATACTACAACGCCGTGCGAACTTTATTAACCAAAAATTGTAATCCCTTCTTGAGCAATGTCACAAAACAGAAAGAATACGGAGTGAAAACCCCATTTGCCAGCTGTTGGCCTTGGGACGCACAGAGTGACAGGTGTGATAGTAAAACCCTCTCCCCCTCTCTTCTTACCCTCAATGTCCCTCTCCCTCCCTCTCTATGTTCCAGGGAGTTGAAGAAGGCCGGACGAAGTCCTAGAGATTCTCAGGGAGCCGGCGACATCAGAGGATGCGAGACCAAGATGTCCTCCTCCTCGGCACGACCAGTTTCAGTTCATCAATGGTAGCGAGAGTTAGTGGTGTAGGGCACGACACCTTCTTAAGGGTGAGATGCGACCACACAGGGGCCGGGTTGGTTTTTTTCGGTTTTGTACGTTGTGTAGAGCGGGGCTATATTACAATGCTTGTTTAAACATTACATGAGGTCCGAGGCAAGGGGCCCAGTAAGCGTTTATAATTAATAGAATGGGGGGTAATCAAGAAAGAAGAGGAGCTGCCTTTGGTGGGGGAATCGAGCCTCACGAAAACTCTGCAGTCTAGACAGGGCACTCTACCACTGAGCTAGTACACTAGGGCAGCTGCAGGAAGGGTCATATCTACAACACTAGAACAAGACAAAGGAAAACCTCAAGCAAACTACAAAACTGTGCCTTGATGGCCCGGCTAAATCTTACAGCGTGTTTCTACTGCGCGTGGTTGTGTCGGTGTAGGTGCTGTCAAAGAAAAGGTGACTGTTGCTCTATGCCACTCTGTGGCAAGGCAGAGACGATGCCGACAGGGAGAGGATCGAGGAGGAGTGAGTGCACAGACCCCCGAGAAAAAGGCCTTCCTCAACGGTAGCATTCACCTAGAGATGGTTAAATCAAAGGAACACTGCATGTGGCACCAAATATATAGTGCGGTGGTTTTCGGCAACACTGTATATAAGATCCACTCCGCATGTATTATTATATAAAGTGTCCATTGCCACATTCCGATGACAGAGTTAAAATGACTTTAAAGGCTGAACAGAAGAGGTGGCTCCGCCTTCCTCAGAAAATATCCTTTCATTTATTATAATTCTTGTCTCTCCCTATCTTCTCTTGCTCTCTCTCTCTCTTTTCCTCAACACAGGCCTGTAATGGTGGAGTCAGAGGACATTGTTCAGGGGAGAGAGCCCGGAAAGCGATGTCGCGAAAATCTCGGAAGGAGTCAGACCTCGACGCCGAGAATGCGAATCCAGGAGGAAGAACGGTGAGTGTGAAAGATTATTTGCTATCGATAATATCCATGAGGGATATTCATGAGTCTCATTTACTGGGACAACTTGTCGCGGGACGTCTTTTACACTGTGTCCTTGCAGCTGGGGTCGAGGAAGGTGTTGGACATGGAGGACCTGGTGTTCACGGACGGGGAGTACTTCATGGCCAAAGAGAGCCAGCTCCCGGGGAGGATCCTTCCGGACAGACAGAAGGGCTACGAAGGGGTCCACGTCCCCGCACTCAAACTAAACCGTTTGACGGGAAAGAGGTTTGCCCTCCATAGATACGCTCACGCCCTTCTATACATAGCCGGTGATCAGTGAAGTGTAACTCGAAAACGAGCCTATATTATGATATAAGGGAACTGGGGTGGGGTTAGAGTGATGATGGACACACGGATGTATTTAGTCCATAATTGTACGATATTCTTCCTTTAAAAATTGCTGCAGAATAATTATGGTGTACAAGTGTTTGTCTCTCTCTCAGTAACTGAAGGCGATTGTGGAGTGCCAATAGTGGGGGGCAGGCAGCGTTCAGCAAATACCGCTCAATCAACAGGTACAGACCAGAATCAAGAGACGGTGCCCCTCCACTCGGACGAAACATCCTTCTCTGGTGCCCCCACTGTATGTTCTCTCTCTCTCCTACAACACGAGGATACCGTGTGACCTAGTGTACTAGAGTGGTAATGCATGCATACTATTAGAGCTAGTGCATAGACGTACCGGTTGTGTTTTGGCTTGTGACTGCAACTGTAGCGCTTGGTCAAACAGAGATAGAGCAATCAGACAGCAGAAGGGGTTGCAATTGGTTACAGGCTATCTATAAAACCGTTCTATAGATAGGTATCGGTGTCCATAAATAGGGGGGATGGGGAAAAAGCTGAGCAAGTGTCTTAACCGTCGTCAACGTTTTGTGTCCCGGGTGTGGAGAGCCAACTGTAGCTCTCCTCTGCTATGAGAGAGCTCCAACCACCTGCCGCACCCCCCACCTTCCTCCCCTTGCTTTCCTTTTGTTCATACCTGGATCAGTTCACCACTACCCTCTTGTACCCAACAACTGAACCCCGAGACAATGTCCATCTGGAGGGCGTTCCCAACGGTAATCCTAATCGTCCCATGAGGTCCCTCGTACAGGAGATGGG